GGTAACATAAGTTATAATCATGAATGTCAGACAATATTTACAAGTATTAACGTTAATCGAATGAGATAACTAATATAATCAAAATTATTTTGCATGACATACTTTCAACTGCTAAGCAAACTTCTAACTAAAAATCCACTTAACTTGTGGAATGGATAATGAATGATTCTTTATATTAACTATAATAAAAGTAGATCAATATTTCACTTAAGCATGAGTTACTATTTATTATAAGTGTGCTACATTATGAATACATTATAAGTGTTTTTATTGTGGATTGTGAGAGCTTTTACTATGAATTATGATATACTGCAGTGTAGCGCTGATATTGTACACTGTGGGTGCTTGCACTGTTGTTCCCTCTGGTTCGATCTCGGTCTTGTCAGGTTTTTTTTTATTTCAATACTCCTATACTTGGGAGAAGACATTAATATTTTGGTCGTGTCAGAAAGCGTTATAGTTTTCCTTACAAAACACTGTGTATTGCTACAGTAATTTTCTAAATGGTTTTATTTTATTTTTTTCTAAAACTATCTTTGTCAATTTTATTGGGAAAAACACTGTAGTTTTCCTCATGAAACATTGTCAATTGGTACAATATTTTTCCTCATGAGTTTTTCTCCTTCCAAAATTATTTTTGTTGATTTTTTTTAATATTAAGTTGGTAACAAATTTAGCTTTGTAATTTTTTTATTAACAAAAAAACTAAATCATGTGATGAAAGTACTGTATCTTTCCTCACAAAATATTGTGCATTGCTACAAATTTAGTTTCTAAGTTTTTGACTACCAATACAACTTTTTTTTTCCATCATGAAATATTGGATTCATCATACCTTTAGTTTTTATTACTTATCTAGCACTAATTCATAATTATAATACTATTACGTATATTTGTTTTATAAGCTCGCGGCATCACGAGGACATGCCATCTCTTACAAATATAAAAGAGAAAATAAAAGAAAGATAGATAGTCCTGGATTCTTATTACATCCTCCAGTTATAATCAAAAGAACAGAAGCAACTTGCTCGAGGAAGTCGGAAACTTTAGAATGCCATTTTGAACAAGTCTTCGACTTCGCAGCGTTTCTCATATCTCAAGCACTAGGCATGGCAAAAATTTTGCCTGATTGTGCAACGAATATGAATATAAGACAATGAATACAAATTTTCCCACAAGTAAAGCACTCGGGTTTGAATCACTTCTGAATCAGAAGTGGAGATTTTCAGCTTTGTGCGATGTTTCATCATTGAAATATGTAACAGAGCTGGATGTCATGATCAACAAACATTAAAGAATGTGATAGCATGGAGAACTTGCTTTCATCTTCTTGGTCTTATTGAGCTTCATCACCATTGCAATCTAGTGGTATGATTTCTGTTCTAAATCGCTTTGCTTGTTATGGATGAAACCTGGAAGAAATTAAAGTAAACTGCTGTGAAAAAATGGAGGATATAATAGCTGTTGGGACATTCAAGCATTCAAACACACATAAATTTAAGTGGTTCGGTAACTTTTCTACTCCACGGAGCTGCTGCTTTGTATTAATCACTCAAAGAAATAATACAAACAAAGAGGAGGAGAAAAGTCTTCTTAACTCAACTCTACACTCAAGCTTTCTCTACTACTCTCACTCTCTTGATTTTTCACTCTATATATCACCCACATTTTCAACTCTTTAGCTTGTCTATTTATAGACAAGGTTAGGGAGACATGGAGTATAAATGATGCCATGATTTATGCCATCAATTAAGCCTCCATTAATATCAAGTGAGGGATTAGTTATCCTCACTTACATATAATGAAGGTGGGACAATGTTTGTCTCTGCTAACAATAGCAAAATGAGATGAAGAAGGGATCATGGGGGAAGAAAGTAGCTACTGTTCCACCACAACAATTCAGCCTCCCAAAGTTAAGGATTCTGAGATGGGGATATTTACCTGAACTTGCAAGCATTTGTAGTGAAAAACTGATTTGCGATTCTCTCCAACATACTAATTTTTTTTCAGTTGCTTGACAATGACTAGCCATCTCCTCCTTCTCTTGAAAAAATCTATGTAAAAACCAAAAAATAGAATGGTGGGACTCAGTGGAAGCATCGTAATGCCAAGGATGTCCTCTTACCCTTTGCGTGGTTTGGGGACCCCGCTATGCATTACTACCTACGTCTTGGTGAACATGTTTTCATTCCTTTCTCTGTATCTGCCCTTAACTTTGGATTAGTCACAACCACAACCACTCACAATTGATCTGTATGATTTCAAAGTAGTTTGTAACCTTGCTAGTCCGAAGTAGTTTTGTTTCTGTTTTTCTTGAATTTATCTTCTTTCAGACTTGTGTTATTTGCAAAACGATGATAATGGCATTAGAAAACATGACATAACAAAGGTTAACAGAAGTTCATTAATTTCAGCTTTTTTGATTGGGACATTGCCCTGTTTTAATTAAACTTGAGACCCTAAGCAGCTCGAATACCGTCACCAGCATGATCATACAGTTCTTCTATCATTCTATACACAACAATTCTTTTATCATTCTTCTACCAACTCGTCCACTTAGTAAGTGTAATGTAACCTTATAAAGTTTTTGTTATGAATAGTGTTTTTCCTTCTCTGTAATTGCTCTACAACAATGTCCCTCATGTCAGCAGGAAGATTGTAACTCGTGGAATTTTTGGAAAATACCGTTGCCCGAGATTGAGTTGTAGTCTATTCCTTACAAATAGATGGTTATGCCGTGCTAACAAGATGATAAGTGGATTGAAATGCCCATAAAAGTACAGATACGATCAAGATTTTTCCGTTCGTTCCAATTTCTTTGCCAGAAGGGATGTTGTGTTAACGTAATGCATTTCGCAGTACTGGTGTATCATTTGCAAGCAATGCATCATGTATTGGAAGTTAGAGGTACTCGAAAAAAGCCCCTTGTTAATAAAAGGTTGTGTAATTTGATGGTGATGTTTTTGAGTTGCAATCAGGAATGGCTCTTGCATTATTTGTTCTTATTCGTGCTCTACTCCAATGGAACGTATGGAACATTGTTGTTTGACCTGATAAAGAGCGTGAAACTTCTGACATAAAACAAAATAAGCATAAGAAAATCCCAAACAAAATAATCTGACAAGAAAAATGAAAGAAAAAGTAAAACTAGAATCGGATACTTCTGTGAGGATGTATCAAATTTTGCATCCAAACAGTCTTTTGTTTAAATCTATTTTGATTTTTTAAGGAAGGATGTTTGTTTAAATCACTCAATGGAAAGTGTTAAATGGCATTGTTTCTTAGAGAAAAAACAGAATTGGATGGAAAATCTGAAAAATGGATGAAACTGGTAATTATATAGTTGGAGGCTTTTTTTTTTTATGTTTGCCCTAAAAAAAAGTAAAATAAAAATAAAAATAATTCAATTCGTCTAATTTAACCGATTAATATTTTATCTTAACAATTTTATAAAACGAAGCAGTAGAAATTAGAAATTGCTGATGAACCCCTTCATGAATAGAGCATATCTTCATGGAATCGATAACATTAGCTTATTATGTTTAGCTTGATCGTTTAAAGCTTGAGTACGATTTGCTGCAAAAGTGATCATTGCCCGCTTCTGAGTCAAGTACAAGAAATCCTTAATCATCTGGAGATAACGATGATGTCTGAAAGTAAGACTTGTTACTTTCGAAAGAAGCAAACGATAGAAACTCACAGGTATCGAAGAATTTATTCCCATCATCATTCGTTTCATTTCCTGAGGCACCAACTCTTTCATTATCATCCTCAGTTTCGCTGACACTTGCTATGGATTCCATTGAACTAGGCAAGAAGATAATTTCAGAACTGCATCATAAAACCATTAATTTAAAATAATATTTTACATCAGAAATTGAACAACCACATAATGGTGAGAGGAGAATTTGAAAGTTTTGGGAGAGACAAAATTGCATAGTAACACAACTCAAGTTGTTGGAAGTTACTTTCCAAAATTATAAGAATCAATCTGGAAATTTATTAAGATAAATCATAGATTTCTCGGACCAATTCAAGGAATTGCCTGATTTATTATATAATATTATGCTTGATTTATTTTCCTTTCTTTAAGTATAAATACGAGTCATTTGTAAGTTAGCCACCATCGCTAAACCATATCAATTTCCTGTCTTTCATTAATTTTTTAGTTTCGCAACCCAAATTTTTAAGGCAAAGAACCATTCAGTTCATAAAAACAATGCGACCACCAGACTAGGAAGTTACACGTTGCCTATTACAGCCTTAAAGCTTGTTTGTTTTTATGGTCAAGTGTGAGGTTGAGATTGGGTATAACTCAATTACATACAAGATTCAACCACAAAATGCTTTTTTTTTTTTTTAGTTTTTTAGGTGGGTTTCATGCACAAACCTCAACCTTAACCACAAAAACAAATAAATTTTAAGTGTTTGTTTGAAATTGTAGTAGTGATTATAGTTTAAATTGTTTTTCATTTATAAATGCATTAAAATAATATTTTTTATTTTTTTAAAAATATTTTTGATAACAACACATTAACATAATTTGAAAATATATATAAAAATAATTTTTAACCCAAAAAAACCCTAATCTATTAAACGATGAATCATCAACACACCACGCCATTGCATTGAAGGATGGGATGGTTACCTAAATTTTGTTACTTTGTTATTTATTCTCTGATTGCTTCTGTAAAGCACTGTACATAAAGGGTAGTATTGATATTGCATATAATAAGTTAGTTAGAATATTCTTTGCTTGTTGTATATATTTGAATGAGCTACATCATTCACAATACAGAAAGAATTTCTCTTTACAACTCTGTTATCCTTTATTTCACATTCGTTTGTTACATGGTATCAGAGTAGCTGATTAATGGCCTATGCTTATAAAGAAACTAATTCTCAGTCTTTCAACAATACAAACCCCAAAAACAAATACCTCAATTTCTCTGACCCTTTCAATCCATTTTGAATTGAGAATGGTGATAACCCAACTACTGCTCTTGTTTCTGAACTCTTAACTGCTGATAATTATGTCAGTTGGTCTCATGCGATTTCTCGAGCTCTTCGTGCGAAGAACAAACTTGCATTTGTTAATGGTACATTGTCTAAACTTACTGATATCTCAGATCCTCTTTTTGTAGCTTGGGAGAGATGCAACGACTTGGTTGTTTCATGGCTACAAAATTCTGTAAGTCCTTCTGTCAAATCTAGTCTTGTTTTAGTTGAGGATTCAAGAGTATTGTGGCTGAAACTCAAAGATCGTTTTACCCACCAAAATGGCCCTCGAAATTTCCAACTGAAATGTGATTTAGCCAGCTTATCTCAAAACCAAGACAATATCAGTACCTATTTTGGTCACCTCAAAACATTGTGGGATGAACTTGCTATCTATGACCCTTTTCCTGATTGTTTGTGTGGAAAATTAAAAATCCTTCATGATCGCTATGATCGTGACTGTGTCATTCAATTTCTTATGGGTTTATCCGATGCATACTCAAACACCAGAGATCAGATAATGCTACTTGATCCTCTTCCATCCCTTAACCGTATGTTCTCCATGATCCAACAACAGGAAAGACAACATTTGATGATTCTTTCTATCAAATCCCCTGACCTTATAGCAATGATAGCCAAACCAATTTTTAACTCTAGCAAAAATTTCTCCCGGTCCACTTCCCAAAAAACTAATCGCCCATACTATTCTTACTGCAAGCTTCCTAGTCATTCTCTTGAAAACTATTTCAAAGTTGGAAATGCTGATCCACCACAATGCACTCATTGTAATATGACTGGCCATATTGCAGAAAGATGTTATAAACTGTATGGCTACCCGCCTGGTCATAAACTTCATGGAAAAAATAAAGGTATTGCAGCAACTATTACTTAATCCCAAGCACTCTCGAATGATGATTATAAGGAGAATTCAACTGAATCCATAATGCTTACCAGGAGTCAATACCAACAATTACTTTCTCTTTTGCATTCCAAGGAGACTAGTTCAACCATGGCTTCACTATCTGTTACACAACCATCTTCTTCCTCTTCCAATCTTCATGTCAGCAACTCTCATGTTTCTAGTATGACTATTTGCTTCAGCACAAGCACACACTCATCTTCTCCCACAAACATCTCACTTTGGATTATTAACACTAATGCCACAAATCATATGATATGCTATACCTTCTTTTTTATGTCTATCACAGCTACTGTTTCCTATCAAGTTAAACTACTAAATGGCTAAGATGTTCTTGTTACCCATATTGGTGCTGTAAGATTATCTAAGCATCTTGTATTAAATCATTTTTTGTGTGTGCCTTCCTTTAACTTCAACTTGCTTTCTACCAAGAAACTAACTCAACATCATTTTTGTTGTCTCATATTTTTATCCACTGCTTGTTTTTTTCAGGACTTAGCATTAAGGACAATGATTGGGATGGGTGAAGTTAGAACCGGTCTGTATCACCGTCTCAAGTCTCGGGTGTCACCCTCTGCTTTGGTTGATGCACTGCCTCATCTTCATCCCTCAACTTCATTTCCTTTTGCTTCCGCTACTCACACTACTTCATTGTGTGATTTATGGCATTATCGTTTAGGACACATTTCTCTTTCTAGATTATCTTTAATCACTGATGCTATTATCACACATAATCAAACATTTCATAATCCAATACCATGTTTCATTTGTCCTTTGGCTAAGCAGTGGCATGTTTCTTTTCCAACTTCTACACATTCTGCTTTATATAAATTTGATCTTGTCCACTATGATATATGGGGTCCCAACTCAGTTATTGCAGTGGATGGATCACGTTTCTTTCTTACAATTATTGATGACCACTCTCGGACAACATGGGTTTATATGTTTAGAAATAAATCTGATAACAAGTCTTGTTTTATGGCTTTTTTATAGTCTAATTGAAACTCAATTTCACCCTAAAATCAAAACCATTAGAAGTGACAATGGAGCTAAGTTTCGCATGAAAGATTTTTTTAAGCTAAGGGCATCATCCACCAAA